TCGAGAATTCTCCCGATAGACGTTGAACGGTGCTGCTTGTGACGTGCAAGCTCCCGTGGTGGGAGGGATTCATGATAGCAGATCGAGGCTTGGTGCAGAAGGCAGGAAAAACAGGTCCCATAACGTTCTCGCCCACACAGACCTGACGGTCTCTTGCCAAACGCCCTGACTTCGCAAACTTACGAGACAAGTGAGCCCCTGAAGACCGGAATCCGGGTGTGGTCTGTAGCTCAATCGCCGAGACAGATAAAAGCAACAATGTTCACAGTGAATTCACTGGTCTGTGGTGTAGTGGAGGAATTCTCATATTCCCACAGACACGCCGTAATGACCCGATCAACTAAAAAGCTCTAGAAATATGTGCCGACAGCTCGCACTAATGACCACGGTCGACAGAGGAAAACGCAAAAACCATTTTGACAACTTCCGCGCAGGAGGTGCTTGCAGAAGCACTCGAATATTTCACGAAGGTGCCTTGCAGACATCAAATTTGGACAAGATCCTATTTCGTAGCCGTACCTGTTAGGCATCAGGATTAGGGGGTTAAGGTTAGGGGTTGGGGCTTGGGGTTAGGGGTTAGACTGGGGCTTGTCTACTGTAGGTACGGCTACTAAATAAGATCCCGACTTAAATTTGTTTTTAATTTGAATATTGACCAGATTGCTCAGCCCTTGACAGAGGTCGAGAGATGGTATTTGGACTTCGAGGATGAACCAACAACCTCTCTCAGGCCAACAGCAGAGTATTACCCCTCTTCAGTCTATGCAGTGGAGTGTACCCTTCCATTAACGGGAGGAACCCTGAGAAGACGACATCCCTACTGAAGCCTAGTACCGATACTGGCTCAATGATGGCTTAAGGTGATTAAACACGCATAGGGTGGTAGCCTCTCGTCTGGTGACTGGGCCTTTGCGGGCTAGTCAGGAAAATTCACACATTTTCCCGCTTAAGCAGCCAAAAAGGTGTGTATGGCGCAAAAAATGAGTCCCAGCAGGGCCGGTCGTGACCAGCCGTAGACAACTGTGAGATGGGTGGTCCTCCGTCCTCGGGGCGGCGAAGTTCAACTCGTGTTGGACGAACTATCCCTTAACCGAAGAACCAATCGCATTGGATGCAGCGACGAGCTAATGGTTGGTGGTCTTCAGATTCTATGGTAGTGGGGAGTCAGTATCCGGGGCGCGATCCACCATCAGGCCCGTAGAATAGGCTTCTGTCCCCTGGCGGCGTGCTCTTTCCAGCATCAGCCTAGGCGCTGACGCCGGCGTCGAAAGGGTGTTTTGAATCCTGCAGGTAGGGCGCGCATTTTGTGCCCAACGAGCCCATAAAGGGCTGTTCGAAGTCCTAGTTTCTGGACCACACCCGTCCGGCACACAGTCCCGATGGTTGGTGGGCTGCAGCCACCAGCGGCAAGGACATGCACTGAAATTCACTAACCACTGGTCGAAATCCTTCAGTGTGAATCAAGAACACCAAATGAAGTCCGGTACTGGGGCACGCTGGTTTTCGATAGAGGAGTTTTGCAGTCATACGGGGGAAAATCTCCCTGCTAACATCGAAGTTATTTTGTCATGAACTTCCAAGTGTTTACCTAAAGCATTCTTACACCTTGAAGGAAGGAAGAATTGATGATAAGAGTAAAATTATGATCTCCAAATCCTTGGCGGGTTCCAGAAGCTCGCTTACGAAGCATGCCAATTGTTCCACCTATATTTCAACATATTATGGATATCAGGATGTCCCATCGTAGAAATATGCAAACAGTGTCATAGGAAGGATATGTGCGCGTCAATCAAAAAGCCCCGAATATTGTGCCAGGAGTTAGGGACGGCCGGCCACCTCTACCAGGTCAAACTCAGCCGTGCCACGAAACGGCCGGATGGCGATACACCGATGGGCTCGGATTCCGGGAAGTGATTATGGCGCATCTGAGAGACCCCGCCTGTGGGCGACACGTGCAGTGTGAATGCCCCGCATTCAGACAGGGTAATCCCCCAGTACATCAACTGTCTCAATCAACTCGCATGTCTGACGGTAAACAAAAAATGGTACGAAAGGCCTGCGCACACGCGACATTGCAGCAAGCGTTTGAAAAATGCGCGAAGTATTTGATATTTTGAAACACTACACCATCCAGCACGTTCACACACGAAATTTCAAGATAACTTTTTTCTTGGGAAAATAGTTGATTCCAAATACGCGATAAAAATCTCTGTTACTGTACATGCCAGATAGGCAGCCATTTGGTCACGAGAAAGGTCGCCTCGGAAGTCAGGCCAACTTCATAACGGAAAGCCATCATGACTCGGTGGATGAACTGGCGTGCTTATCAACGCCCTCAAACGCAATCGTTGCCGCATGGAAACAGCCTTGTGCAATCAAGATGGCGATTTACGGTCTTTGGTGCACATTGCATGCACGTGTGATGTCCGCCCCCGCTAAATGAAAACGAGACTACGAGCCAACTTAAGAGGGTGTGTAACGGTAAATCGAACTGATTGCCAGATGCATACTTAACTCTACCTCTCGGACCAATTCTGTCGTCTCTGACCAACCCCCCTCTCCCCCCCCCCTTCGACTGCTGAACGTAAGCAATCTCAGGCTACAGGACTCGACCCAATGGACGAGAAAATCCTCTCCTCTACCCGGGAGACGTCTAAGATAGAAGAGATGTGGCGCCTGATGCAACAGTAGAGAAAGCAGAGTCGGCACATGTTACGCCGAACTATAAAGTTTCCCGCTTCCTCACTGGCTACCACAACTAAACTGCCATACCTCCCCTTCGGCTCGAAATTCACTTAGACTATTCCACTGTTGCTAGTGCTTTCCGAGAATTAACATGATAATAATAACACTTCAACCTGTTCTCACTTTTAAAACATACGCACACAGAGCTGACGAAAGTCCACTCCAACATCCCCCCAAATGCTCCTTACCACGATCCACCCAAGACCTCCGTCCATCATCCAAACCACATGTTCGATTTAGCTATGATCATCATTCGTAATGACGTGAGAAGATGTAGATCCCGGTTTGTGCAGATGTGCCCAACGAACCTAGGTTGGTGTCTTAGACGTGAATCACGAGTACAGGGACGTGGTTAGGAGTTTTTCATCAGTCTAGATCATGCCTTTGATGTTATCTTTGTTTGATGTTTTGTGGTAATTCAGCTCTTAAGGTTGCTGTGCTGGTTTTCCGGAGACCGCCATGCTCATAATCTTGTGTGAGATCCTTCTCAGGTGTTTCGTCTTGCTCGCCAGTGTTCATTGCGAGTTTTTTTCCCGTATATTGGCAGTCTTAGGGCGATGTTTCGCGGGCTTGGTTGGAGACATAAGTGGGTCTTCTGCTGACACCAGACCGGTTGCGAAATCCGCTCCCGAGCCACGACCTCGCCAGGGAATGACCCATCATATTCCGAATACACTTAACTGGCCTTTTGAGATGGGGGTCGCCTTGAGTACCGCGACCCCGACGTTGCGTCGGCAAGTTTAAATGCTAAGGGTCGAGTGAATGCATATATCATATTTATATCTTACACCATATACTCATATATATGCACATATCATATTCATATCGCGAACAGTCGCGAAGTGTCTATTGCGTACCACTAACTTTGTCGGCAATTTGGCAGAGTTCTCGAGTACGACCAACGTTTGAGGCCTGCTCCATGGTGGCCGCTGTTTCAGCCCAATATTTCTGCCGGTCATGCCTTAGTCGACTTTGCTGTCATTCTCCAGAGGTAGCGGAAGGGAGCATCTTTGTGGGACCTGACCTGAGTCATCTGAACTGACAACTGCAGGGTTCTTCTGATGACACAGTCACTGCGACGTCGCTGGGTGTGAATCCAAGGATTTTCTCAGTTGCCCCACAGACTGATGATCATTGGCCACTGCCTTCTGTGTCAGCTCGGATCGTAAAACGGAAGCAGATATCTGTGCTCAGGGCCTCGGCAGTGACAGCTGTCAAAGTTTTGCGACCTCAACACGTGGCATTTTGAGTGCGGATGAGATATGAATTTCCAGGCGTGCGCAAACGAGGACATGATCAGACCCATGGGCTTTGCAAGTTTCGGCATCACACATCGATCTGCTGTGGCGAACCCAATTGTAGAACCTTGCAGTTACCAGGATGTTGTCGATCTAACTGGCTGTTGTTCGAATATCAAGTCAGCAGATGTTTGTGCCTATGCTGGAAACACTTGTTGGTGACAGACAGTCGGTTCTGATCGACAAACTTCCGCACTTTCTCACCATTTTCGCTTAGAGAGCTAAACACAAAACGGTCAATAAGGCGACCGATGAAAGAGTCGCTGACTCCAGGCCGGCTATTTCAGCCCCTGGCAACAATCAGAAGATCAGGGCAGCAGAGTCTTTCAACCAACTCTTGCAACTGAGAGTAGTGGGTTTCCTTATCGCACTGTTCGGCAGTTAGTGTTGGTGCGTACATGGGGGCGGTAGAGGTGATCGTAAAGTTATCGTCCAGTCGCAGTTAAGCCATCCGGCCATTGACCGGCTCCCATGCAAGTAACGCACGGTCTGCATGTACCGAGAAGGTGATAGCCACACCAGAGTCTACTAGAAGAATCCCGTTGGCTGCTGTAATACCGAGTGAAATGCGAGTTGACTCCCGGCATCTTTGTCCCCCTAGCGCCAGAGTCGAGGATTCGGACTTCAGACGGACAGCAGACATTCACGTTGTACTGATGAAGGCTGCAGAAACGTCCGCACATCCCGGTTGAGCGCTATTACAGGACACTGCTGTCGGGCCGCCAGACCCAAAACCATGTTAGCCAGTAGCTTTGGTCAGTCATCCGAGAGTACCTGCTCGTCATAATAAGATAGTATTCCCTGACGGCTATTCCACCATTTGTCGTCCCCGGACGTACCGGCTACCCTGTAACCAGGCTAGTAAGCGGACTCATCTTTCCTAGTCCGGCTTCGGCCTATGATGTGGCGCACGTCACCCGCGGTGGTGCGCGTCAAGCACCATGTACGAACTACCGTTCAAGAAAAACGTGTTGTTAGTAGCCACCAACTTGCCTGTTCTTTCAGCTTGTCTTCCACATTTCGGTGGGCATCCAAGCGTTTGTTCAGCAGTTCGGACTCCTCTTTGAGGCGGGCAATCTTCTGCTCGGAGACCATTTGCTCCTGTTGATGCTGAACCTTAGCTTGTTCCAACTTCGCCTCGGCCAGTTTGGCCTCCAGTTCGCGCGTCTTAATCAGCTGAAAAGAACAGAAACAGGTTAATTATCGTCACTAACCATGGACCTAACGGAGACTACAGGTAGTTCAGGCTGGGATTCTGGAATAAAATGGCTTCTGGTAAATGTTACTCACATCCCCTGCCATCCAGGAAAAAGCGACCAAGAGGAGTTTTCATCATAGCAAAACGGGAACTAGATCAGAAAATTTAGAGTGACCAAGGAAACAGCACGGTTCTAATTAATGCTATCCATAAAAGCTGAGCGGCTCCAAAACCAACCCAAAGGGGCTGCAGCAGGAAAAAGTTTCAGTGAAAAGACTAATAAACCCACGACATGTAAAAATATGTGCTGACATCCCATTTGTACCGAGACTCATAAACAGGTTCGCAAAATTCTCAAAGTTTATCTCCAAAAGAGACCCAAAAAACTACGGATGTGGAGCATAAAACCAACTCAAGTTACAGAGGCAAAAGCGCTAGACTAATTAAGGATCGGGTCGAAGCCATTAAAATTGTGTCCGTGGCAAACGATTATATGCACTTTATGTACCTACGCTGTTTTTCCAACAGCTACATAAATTCCAACACGAGTTCGGACAATTAAATCGAAAAAAAAGAACTTCGGTTCTCCAGAAAACTGGGGTCTGTAAGTGTTCGATTGCTGGGTTTTTGAAAGAAAGTGTTTAAACTAGCCATTCCTCTGGACGTCTGAATGAGTGCATTGATGCTTAAGTGTCAGCAGATTACGTGACGTTACATAGACAGCTCTGTAAATTATGCGGCCATTTTATAATAGTATCGCGCTATAGCACAAACGGTAAACGCTCCCCCGACGATAATTAGCAGCGCCCATCTCAAATGGCGGGATAACGAGCCCCTGGTGCAATGGACTTGAAAACGCTTAATGACCAGAGATTGCGGGCTAGAATACTAGTGTATCCAAAGTTGGAGATTTGACGGACGACAGCCAATAAGCCAAAATGGCTCTCCTCGTCCCCGCTGTCTTTGCTTTTAGGCCTTCTGGCTGACGTCCCTTTGCAGAACCAAGCCAAGAAAAGGACCCTGCCGAGAAGGCCAATGAAAGCAATGAACTCAACTTGTAAGGCGAAATTAACCCTCACTGCGTGCATCACATTATACGGTTTAACCTTCCATAGAAGGAACGGAAGTTGATCTACGAGGCCCTCGAAATATGGTTGAGAAAACCGACAACACTTCACTTGTAACCACTTGCGCGTGGCCATAAATATTTGCAACAGAAAGGTTATACGACGCACTGAATGCGGTAACTCGGGGCTAAATAATATTTCATATCAAATGTATAATGACGCGATCACTTGCGTTCCAATGCGCATTTGCGGATCACGGTCAATGCTTCATGCGATTTTCACCACGATGTTCTTTCCCTAGGATTTTAATGTCTCCTGCTATTATTATCACTGGAAAGACACTCAGATACATGTCGGCGTACGAGCACGTGTTATACATCCCATAAAAACGAACCGATGAAACACAACGGCCGATCTGATCCCCGACAGGCTACCATTAACAATCTCGTTTATTTTACTTTTAATACATCTCCGTTAATGATTTCCATCGGTTAATCCCCTACAAACACACCCTTAATGTTGCGAGACTAACATTAAGCACAAAAACCCTATCCGTTATATGCTCTTTGTTGGCTTCTCCAATTTTCACTAAGCTCCTTCCTCATTTTCAGCCGTGAAAAAGGAGTTCATTCGACTGTATAGGCTTCACTTAATAAAAATTATTACTACTATTTGCAAGTTTTCGGCAAAGATTGTTAATGTGTGCGTATTTCATGAACTTCACAGGAACATTAGGGTGATGCTACTCACAAACGGGGACTTCTCACCTTCTGGACGTGCTCTTCTCGGTGTTCATGGTCCTTGATGAACTTCTGCAGCTTTTCAGCCAATTGCTGGTTCTCTTCACGTAGCTCCTTGTTCTTGTTTAGGTACTCACCCAGTTGTTTTTGGATGTCCAGGATGCTGGCTTGGAAACGATCAGCCACCGCCTTCCGCTGTTTATCCTCCGACTCGGCCATTTGCATACTTTCTTCCTGTGCAAAACCATTAAACAAGATTAACATTTTACCAACATGTGCAAGGTATCTGCAAGGTACAGCAAAAGTCGAAAGACATGGGAAAGTTGGGAACGGGTTGCTCGTCTCCTCAGTTTATTGAAGTTGCAAAGGAGATCGCTACCGTGGCTTAAGCTTGTAGCTAATTTTGTCACATGCATGCTCTCATCTGTTCGAGGGGCAAGCTGACCTTAAAAAGTTGCATGAAGACTCGGTAGTACTCGTAAATAAGGCAATGGACCCGGGAAAATGGGGCGGCCGAACAGTGCGAGTAGGCTGTGGAATCCTCAAGCAAGATATATCAACTGAGTTGGACATGTCTAGCAGTGAGAATATAGTGGAGACCAGTTTCGATGCTGCCCGCAGGCAGAAGTCGAAACCGACCTCGCACAAACTAGTGGGTATGAGACTGGCTTTAGTAAGGTGCTTATAGCTGACCTCGAGTGAAAATCGATCTTACCTTTATTTGGTGATTCTGTTTTTGGAGTTCGCGACAAAGACTTTCAAGCTTCTCTTTCTGCTGAAGAACGCGAGCCAATTCACTTTGAAATTTGTCTTTTTCGCCGAGGATCTATGGAGATAAAACTGTAATACAGCGTTCGGGGAATAAAGGATGTCAAAGGTCAAAAATCGCGATGGCAGATATTTTGAAAATCCCAGTATTCCCACAATCAATGGTCATCAATATTGGATGAAAAGGTGACTCGAAGTCACGGTATTTCAAATAATCACACCGTGGTTTGTTAAATCTGAAGCAATTACTGATGGGTACGACGTTTTCTCCAGCCTGCTCAACTAAAGAAGAGGATTTCCTTCTTCGGCCTGCAGTGCCGGATAAGGAACCTTCGGCCACATAACCAAAAGTGATTTATTTTTGTCTCAGGAGCCGAATGCTTTGCAAAAGGTCGCGGAGTAGGCAATTTTTCCACTCTCCCCTCGTCCTCCTTGAGAACAACTGTGGGCAGGCAATAGGATATGCATGAGGTTGACTGGTTTTAGAAGGTAGTTACGGAGAGATGGCGACCTTGGGGGTCAGATATTGTTGCACATTATTGCAGACTGACCCACGGATGGATGTTGAGGAATGTGTACTTGGGATACTAAACGACCTCCGGGACTGAAAATGTCCCCATCTGGCCCCGCTGTCAAGACAAAGGCAAGAAAATAGCAGACGGGATCGGGCGCAGACGGCTGGCGCGGCGTGAGCCTGTGCATAGGCATCGCGAAAATATCTCAAGCCACCTGAGACGAGTGAGGTGGCTTGGGTAAGTCCTTCACCGTCCGCATTATGAGTGCAGTGTTGCTGCCCGCAATTCGGCGCTCTTATGCACCACGGGTTATCGAAGAGGGGATCAGCCAAAAAATAGCCTGACACAGTTCGCTGAGGCATGGAAGTTGTTCTTGGACCTTCGGTATTCGGCCTTCATCGGCAGAGGAGGGAATGAGTCGAGTTTTCTGGATCCGCTGCCGCAGGTCATCAGACTAGCGGAGGCATTAGCACACCTGTACCTAGTATAAGTAAGTGGACAAAGGTATCTTGGACTCGTGACAGTGTCACCGTTGTCACAAGGATCAATGTTTACTAGGCGTACGTCGATGAGCCCTTTGCCGGGGGTGTGAATGTTGCGTTGCGCGCGAAAACCCGAGATATTTTAACGCAGTTACTTATGGCGGTTAAACCAAATTTTACTTTAGCTGGCTGCGATGTTCGTAATTTTACGAACTGGTGCGGCTGAGTTCGCAACGAGGAAGTAAGTGTATTCACCGTCATCATTCATGTCATTTTAAATAGCCCTTTGATCGACTTAATCCGATATCACAGCGAAACCGGGGAAACAGACCACCCGTGATGCGGTGCCGCACCGTGAGTGGGTCGGACTTACACGAAGGGAAACTAAACGTAACGGTTGTGGAGAAAGAGCCCTTGCGCCTGTTTTCAAGTAGGGAGGTGAAACGAAGTGTGGAAGCGACCGCAGCATACGTCTAGTAAGCACTTCTCCGATGTCATTATCATCGTCCGGATCCTCTTCCAAGACACGCCCACATTTGCCTGTGTCCTTTCTGGCTACAGGAAGAACTTAGCCGGAAGGGGTGGAATTCAGTCTTAATTGCGACCAGCCAGTAAATGTCCGAACTACAATCGAAATATCTGGGCCTTTAAATGGTACACGCGTTGCTGGCACAGGAAGTCAACCAAGAACTGAAAACGGTCCTGTCAATCAGAGCTGAGCCTAGAAAACTCATTACAAGGCGGAGGCGCTGTTAGATGCAGGTTATGAGAAGTAAAAATGTGCACAGAATCTGAAAGGAAATAAATGCAAACTTCTGAAACTGTTAGGTAAACCGAGAAATTTCCCAGCCGTAATTACGCTTGCTCATAGAAGAAGCACCATGTCCCAAGTGTTCATACGCTTTGAAGCGCAAAAATTTATCTGAATGGTTTTCTTCCCTGATGAATAAAACCACTAATCTGCAGCAGGCAGACAGCCCTTTGCATGAAAACATTCGCGTTCAAGTGCTGAAAACCCACCAGAAAACTTACTGAAAGAACACGTTTATCGGCCTGTTTGGCCTTCAGCTGTGCCTCGTCACTTTCAGACTGTAATTTTGCATAGGACCTGTGTAGGACAATCAATTTTTCTTCAAGAGTTGCATCACGCGGGACGTCACGGAGTGTGACATCTATGGATTAATAAAACGGTGTCAGAAACAAACCAACTGATTTAAGCTCGCGCATCTTCTGCTTCTTTGTTAGGTTAAGAAAGCTAGGTTTTGGCTGAGCATCTTCAGTAGTCCCCGACTCCGAGCCTTTTCCAACAGCTTCTTCTGACATCACACTGCCGCACAGACCCCAGGCGAAACAAGCGACTTGTTCTCCCGACGCGCGTCAATCTCAGCTAAGTAAAACTTTGTACATACAAGACAGTGGTGGAATATAAAACAGCGGTTGGAATTTTACCGTAAATATCTTAACCAATAGAGGAATCAGCATATCTGAGTCCGTGCCGCCGTTTAGGGACCCGAACGACTATAAAACGCGAACCGACATCACTTCACTTCACTAATGGTAGTGAGTGCTCGAATTACAGGTGTATGAGTAGATAAAAGAACTGGTGGAGCGCAGACAAGGTGTTTTTGTGTTCCGAACCTTCGAACTCTTTAATGGATCCGTACTCGGACAGAAAAAGAACCGCGAGCCTTTGAGTACTGTGTCTGCAATGTGTTCTGAGAAACAAAATGCATAAAGAGTGTCTTTAAAGCGTTCACCATATATTTTAAAAGAAACATCAACTTTCCATTCTGCTGATTCGCTTAAGAACATATATCTCTTTAGTTTCTCCTTGAAACTTTCCACTGATTACGACATCTCAACATGTGCCGGAGTGCATTTTACGGTTAATCCACTCGGATGGAGAGGGAAATCTTTCTCAAATCTCGTCGTGCACATTAGTTCAGTATACTTAATTATATTTAAGCTTATTCGGCATTGCCTTTGAAGACCCTGTAAAGAAAGGCGTCCGTAAAGTTGCTATATAGTAGAGAATAGCATATTCAGATATTCAGAAAATATTGCTGCAACAGGGGAATTAATTCCCACTGGCCCAAAAGGATCACGGATAATTCGAAATAATGTATATCGGTGTTACCTTGCGCATGAGTAAAGCGTTGGTTCGATGTAACAGTGTTCTTTTATCCAGTTTAATGCTATCTTCAAAGTAAAAATGCATCCGGTTTGTGCTTGAATGCCTGTGTTAGCTCTGCCTTCATAAAATCCTCAGACACCGATGACTGACTGCGAATGGAAATGGCGACAAACATCCAGGTGAGATGCGGCTCATCGAAGTTTGACAGAACTTCTACGCAGCTAGACCGCTGTGGCCAGTGAGAGGAAATAATCGAAATGTAAAACACAGTTCAGATTCTTCACAGTTCGGTAGGTCTGTGTGAGATGTCCATGGATCTGCCTGTGCTCAAGGAGGAAAGGAGATTGACAGCGTTCAGGCGTGCACAATAAGTCCATTCCATTCTATTAAGCCTCTTAAGTCTTTGTGTGTGTGGTAAGGATTTTAGAACCCAATAAACGTCCCTTAAACTCTCATAAAAATTTTATTATTTGTGTCTATTAAAGTCCTGTTAGAGGCGTATAGACTAATAATAATAATAATAATGCCAATAGAAGCGAAGATCCGAGTCCCAGGAAGTAGTCTTGAAGAAGGAGACACGATCGCCGGGACAAGAGCTTTATTAGCCTGACGGTTCGGATTCCTACTCGAATCCATCATCAGAGACAAAAGAGCAGAAACGGGTGGTTGTTGCACAAGGGGCTGCGGTATTTATAGGATGCGGCAGCATGCTACCGCATACCTATAAACGTTCACGGCTTCCCCCTTCATCCGGGATTGTCACACTTGGTGTGATCATTGCTTGATGGCCGACATTCGAGTCGATAATTGCTGCAATTTCATCACTGCCACGGCTAAAAACGTCTGGAGTCGTTTATCGGATCTGGTGCAGTTGCGGACAAAGCAACTACGTCGGAGAAACCGGAAGACAGCTCCGAACGAGAATGGTCGAACACGCGGCAGCGGTGCGCAGAAATGACGCCAGCTCTCAAGTTGCGGCTCATTCGACGAGATCCGGCCACACATTTAAATTCGATGAGGCCGAAATTCTCGCAAGAGTTGACAACCGAGTGAGCCGGGAGCTACTGGAATCATGGTTTACTGGCCCCCAATCCATCAACAAGGGCAACGATCTTCCCATTCAATACAGCGTGCTGAGACTTCGTCTAGGCGGAGTAATTGGCCACGCGGGGAGCGCACTGGTGAACACTCCTCCCAACACCCGGGTCAACGCGTCAGATGGTCGAGCAATCATCACGCCAACCTCCAACGCACGTGGTGAAATTGCAGCAATTATCGACTCGAATGTCGGCCATCAAGCAATGATCACACCAAGTGTGACAATCCCGGATGAAGGGGGAAGCCGTGAACGTTCATAGGTATGCGGTAGCATGGCTGCCGCATCCTATAAATACCGCAGCCCCTTGTGCAACAACCACCCGTTTCTGCTCTTTTGTCTCTGATGATGGATTCGAGTAGGAATCCGAACCGTCAGGCTAATAAAGCTCTTGTCCCGGCGATCGTGTCTCCTTCTTCAATAATAATAATCTCTATTCAAGACCCGCGGGGGTCCTTTCATAGCAAGCAAGAATAGCTTTACATTAATTTTAGAATTTTAGAGGATGTTTACAGAATTTACACAATACTTAATTCGCAGTTATTGAATAGGTAGTATGTTACGAATAATATTAACTTTTGGTGGTCATCTAGCCGCACAGGCACATTGAGAGCAGGGCCTTCCATCCAGATTTTTTTGGTGAAACTTGCCCCTTGAGTTCGCCTTTCTCTAATATGATCTGTAGTGCAACATAGCACCTAAAGTCAAATTTCATTGATTCCGAAGATGTTCACCATGTGCTGCACAGCAAGTTGCAGCAGGCACAGTGACTTGTGCGTGAAATAGTTTATAGTGATGGTAGACTTGTGCAGCATCTACCGCACCCCCCCTTCCCCAATTCCTATCTGGACCCGTTGTCAAGACAGAATCAAAAAGACCGGAGCCTGGGGGGAGCACAGGTGGTTTGCGCGGCCGTAGCCGCACCTACGTGTGCCACCATACCCCTGATCCACAACATACACTTGACCAGGTTTTTCACCAACAACAACACTCTAACTGGGGTCAGAAGGTCGGGGATAATAATAATTTTTTATTAAAGACCCCTCGGGGTAACCATGCTCACCTCCTGTATACCCAACGAGAGTGCACGCGCATCTACCTGGAGGGAAGCAGGTGTCAGGGAACTGACAGCGCACACCTGGCTGCGAGGGCCGTGGTTTGCTGACGCTGACATAGCGAACGCTTTCGGACTTTTTGACCTAGAATGGCGGCACTTGCTACTGCATTTAGCCTGGACCGCCAACCTTCAAAGTTGGGCAACCAAACAGTCGTCGACTGAGGGACACTACCCATTAACCACTCAAACATACGCGAACACCTTCCTCACGTGCATTAGAGTGTCAGAGATCGCTTGAGAAGGGGCCGTGACAGCCTGGCCCTCAGCCCACCAGTACGTTACTCCACACAACGCACACAACTGGGCAGACCGCACGAACCGAGTTTGGGCGTCAGTCGGCTACCTTCCGAGTCACGGCGTTCGACGCACCGTCTTCGTCTCAGACTCCTATCACAAATGCAGCAGGGGGCCGCATGGGAAAGGAGCCGAGAAGCACGCTTTCCACTTACATGGATGGTGGCAGTTGGGTGCTTGCGGTGGGTGATGTTGATGTGCGGTGAGCTGCTGGTGATGGAGGATGTAATGGTGTGGTGCAGCTGGCGGCAGTTTTCCTGGACGTGCATATGGCCTAATAGACCCATGCGGTGAATAAATGTGCGAGTGCAATATGGGCGGTGGAGGCGGATGCGGCGGGTGTAGGTTGGTGCTCCAGGTACTTGTTCACCAGTCTGCGAAACGGCTTCGTATGTTACCGACCAGACTGGTGTGTGAGGAAGATGTAGGGGACAGTGAGGACTAGAGAATTCGGCGGTGTCAGTACCAGCTTCGATGATGGTGACTGTGGAGCTGGTGGTGGTGGCAGTGGGAGGGGAGGAGGAGAAGGAGGCGAAGGGGGAGAAGAAGAAGAAGAAGAAGAAGAAGAAGAAGAAGAAGGAGGAGGAGGAGGAGGAGGAGGAGGAGGAGAATGGTAGTGGAGGTTTCGGAGGGTGGTCAGCGTTAGACGACGGTGCCGTGGGCGAGGAAGAGGCGGACAGAGAGACGACTGTCGGTGCAGTCCAAGTGCTGCAGTTGGTCCGGAGTTGTCCAACAAGTCCATTCGGTGCCCAGAATGTCCGTTTACATCGTAGACACGTTGGAGACGTTGGTCGTTGGCGTTGTAAAGAAGGCGCAGCTATAGATTTGCGTACATCGCGTTTGACTTTCGCGGCGGCAATGCGGTTGACTTCGTGGGTCGCGCCCCTGTCTTCACTGACCTCCTCCAGGTCGATCAGTCTCGATCGAGGTCTTACCAATTGGCCAAGTTGGTTTAAGGAGGCTTCAGGGAGATCTTCAGAGGGTCCATGTATCGACGGATTTGGTCTCCTTGGCGTCGGGAACACGCGGCGACATCTCTATGGAATAGTCACTTGGGTAGGCTCTCGTTCATCCGTACGAGGAAGTAACTTCAACGAAGTTGCAGTTGTCTCAACATAGCGTAGATGCTGAAGATTCCCGTCCATACCAGTACGTCCGTGTCCGGGATCCGGTCCTACCACCTCAGATTCAGTATGCGACGAAGACAGCTGAGATGGAAGTGGCTGAGTCTACAAGCCTGCTTCATGCACACCGTCCAGATCCAATTCTCTGCTCCATAGAGCAGCGTCGGAAGGATGACGACCTTGCACATTTTCTGTTACGTGCCGAGTTTGTTGAAGACCATGACGATTCCAAAATGTATTTTTAGAAGGGTACTGAAGGCTAAACTGGCCTTGGAAATGCGGCGGGCCACTTCATCGTCGATTTTGGCGCTGCGAGAGAGGGTGCTGCCCAGATACGTGAGGTGTCTACCATTTGGGTTGAGTTCCGTTCACGATGGTTTGGGACGCATCATAGGCAATGCTGGGTGGCGGTTGGTGCATGACTGCTGTCTTCTCTGTGTTGCTGATCCGGCCGAAGTTCTCGCAGGCGGCGGCGAAGAGATCCATGCCCCTTTTCATTTCCCCTTCCGAGGTGGTGTAGAGGGCACAGTCGTCGGCGAAGAGAAGTTCGTGGAAGTC